GACTGTTACCATATCAGACTAAGTGTCGTACTGCTAGCTTGCCTTTTGAAAGCAACGAGAGGACACAAGGATTCCGAGTGATTGATTTTCCTTGATCCTAGCTACTACCGTGTTTCACTCGTTTATCCCCCTAACCAGCAGCACTTGGTCATAACTGTACAAGTGTTTCTATTTTTGACTAGCTATCTTTTGCAGCACTTATTACCGAGATAAAAAAAAAGCAAAAGACCTAAAGGTGCAAAAAGAGAAAAGAAAAGCCACATCCAAAAGAAGAAGAAAAAGAAAGAGCAAGATAAAAATAAAGTGAAAAAATTTAGAAGTGTTTGCATCCTTCGAGTCATTGTGTTGAATTGTATTGTTGCTTACTTGAACTAGGTCCAAGGCGAGTTTAGACCGGCAACATAAACTAGCTTAGGACTACTTTTCAATTTTGCAATTCTGAATAAAATTATTGTTAGCTACCATATTTTTTAGCCTCCCAAGCGCAACATATGTACTTCAAATTAGTACTGAAAAAGATCCTTGCAATCTTGGTGACACGCTCTCATGTATCATGAACCAGCCGACGATTGTACCGTCCACCACTTTGTGTTGGTAAGAACCTTTTAAGAACTTGTAAGACATGTGAGAGTGTGTTTCCACTGACCCATATAATAGTCGATAGGGATTTATTTTGATTTCTAAAAATATCGAATGAGTTTCTGTTTAAGAGTGAATTGCAGGAAATCATGGACCAGATGTTTGCAAGGATGGATAGAATGAAGAACAATCAGCCATCACTTATAGATTATAATCATCATGGTATAAGAGGTAAATTTACCATACTATGCTTTGTTGGCTCTTATCATGGAAGAATATTTTGATCGGAAGATGAATGTAGAACAAGAATTTAATTCCCACCTAATTTCTTAGATATATAGAGTTAAATAAGCTACTAGTGAATTCAATGATTTTGCTCAATTCTGGTGGCGAGAACTAGGCAATTTGCATCTACAACCTCAATCATGGGATAGACTAAAAGAAGCAATGCATGATTATTTTATTCCTCCTCATAAGGAATATTATGCAGAGTTTCAAAGTAGTAGACTATGTTGTGAGATAGTAAAGGACACAGAAGATAAAATTGTTCGCTTTAATGATAGTTTGAGGCATGAAATACATGATATTGTTTATCATAAAGAATTTTATACTATCAACTGTTTTTTCTAGTTTGCTATGCTTGCATAAAAGAATTGTAGAGATGTCAGCAAAGGAACTAGAGCAACATTGGCAACAACCTCACAAACCAGGTATTAGCAAGGGCGGAGCAAGTGATCGAGCAAGCATTCACAAAAGGTCGACACCATGATGAGCAAGCAACTGGCTACCTCCACCACTGCAATAGCGTCATCACCACCACCTCCCACACCCACTTTGGAGTCTAGTAAAACTTTAAACCCTGCTAAAATTGTACAACCTGATAGAGTGAGTGCTACTAGTGAGAACAAAGAGATTGATATTAAACATGAAAATGATCTAGTACCTAAATTGAAAGGTTCTTTTATTCTTGGTTCAAAATCTGATATTGTTGAAATTGGTGATGATGTGCTAAATTTGTCCACCACTCATGCTATAATAGAGCAACATTTAGTGGACACTAAATCCAAATTTTCCTTTATCACAAAACAATTATTCTAATAGTGCTTGTAATAAAAAGAGTTGTGTGTCAGTGCTTTTATTATACCTATGCCACAACTAGTGAATGAGCATGATGCTTTTGTTTTGGAACCAAATACTTGTGATGAAAATAAACATTTGTTTCTCATCACTACAGAAAAGAATGAACTAAAATTGTTTTCTTATTTAAATACTTTGGGTTATATTGAATTTGATACTCTATACAGTCTAAGTAGTTTGAGGGAAAAATTTTATGTGCTAAATTCCATGGTTCTCTGGATGTACATATCACTTTATTGGTAATATAATTGTAAAGGAGAGTATATGGTGCATCGTGTCTATATTTGTTCAAATCTAAAATATCCTTTTGACATTCAAAAATATGATCAGTTGTGGGTTGCAATTGCTATAATCTTGTCATGTTGAGTTCATCTAGTTTTGTTCTAAAGAAACAGGCTACATTTCAAAAAGAGGAGCACTATTGGTTACTACCTACAATATATCCTCCAGCTAAGACCAAATCGAGGACGATTTCTTATCAAGAAGGAGAGGATGATGAGGACATGATGCCTATGTATATGCCCACAAAAGTGAAAGACAAGGTGAACTCGTTCCTATGTTTGCACAACGACATAAGTAAGAATTTGTTGCTATCTAATGTTGTTGCTTTCAATATGCTTAGGAACAATAATGATGATGATGATGTAAACTTGGGAAAGGCACTTCCTATGGTCTCTACAATAGATGGAACCTGGATACAACATGCACAAGATCGATCTTGGAGTGCAAGCTCATCAAAGTCCAACATTCGGTTCGTCGGTAGCCCGACAGTGCTTCATTGGGAATGCCATAACTCATCTTTCTAGAGTGCGATTGAGGTAAATGAGCACTTCATGGAAAGGTTGTTTGATAAGCTTTTAAATAGATCTGGTCCCACCTCAATATCACATCAAAAAGGTCTCCGAACCATCATGACAAGTTGTTGTTTCTACCGAGAGCCGCATCGTCATAACTAGGGTAGTGTTGAACCTATTTCACCACTTAAACAAGGTTGGAAGCTAACGCAAAACTAGATCGGGAGCTAACCCTAATTTACCAACACAAACAGGTAGAGCACAATACAATAGAAAGAACACAAGAGACAAAGGATTTATCCTGTGGTTTAGTTCGCCACAAGGCTTGCCTACCTCCACGTTGTTGAGGAAACCATCAAGGCTTGGGTTTCAAGAACCCTATCCTCTTCTCAAGGTCAATAGCACAAGTCTCTTGATTCGAGAGTTCTTACTAGATGTAGGGTGATCACAAACGTCCTAGAGCGCCCACAAGAGTTGGGACCTTCGACAGGCGACGCCTGCCTGATAGGAGCTCTTGCTCCAAGAGTAAAGAACATAATCCACTGGCTTGAATGCGAACAAGTGCTCTAGGAGTTATATCTTTAGTTTGAGAGGCTCTTTAATGGAGTATGGAGGCTCAATCTCTCAAAGAATCTCAAGGGAATCAAAGGGGAGAGGTTGGGGTCCTTCAATAGAGTTGGAGAAGCTTGTCTGGACGTTGGTGAGAATGAATGTTCGAGATAGCCATTGGGGAGGAAGGAGAAGAGGTATAAATACCCTTCCTTTCCCAACTGACCGTTAAGTCACGCCATATGCGGCAGTGCCACACCAGCTAGAACAGCAAAGGAATAGGATTTATGTATTGGCTTTGGCGAATTTGTATGGTTGGTATTTTAAGCACTTAGTTGCATATTAAAGCTTATGCATTGTACCTTCTTTATAGTGCGACGTATTCTAAACTTAATTTCAAAAGATAAAAGAATTTAAACGTCCTTTGAATCCATCACCACGTCCTTTTATAATTGAGGTTCCACCATTTTAAATATCATACTCATACTTACACCACCTGCTTGTCAACTTGACAAATTTCATCAGTCCTCTAATTATATGGTCATTATTATCGAAACTCGTAATTAGTGCTTGATTGCACTTACAGGGTTCATACCAGAGTTCATTTGAACAAGGATGTAACACACTTGGCCTAAGGGTTCATCACCAAAATTCTTTTCAACAAGGATGTAACTGTAAATTAAACTATGTTTAGAAATATGGCCTAAAGGCAAGTCTTACCTCAAGAAGTCCCAATATTTAGCAGGGTACCTATGAAAGTAACAAAAAAAAGGCCAACTACCATTTTCCACGACAGGCTTAATTTATTCCTGCAAAACAGTATTGCACGACGAGTATCATTTTTTTTTTTCGAAAAGGGCCAGTTGGCCCGGCCTTCTTTGGAGGCCGTTGTAGGAGCCAGGGATCGAACCCTGGCCAGCTAGCTCCCACCCTTGGGGCTTAACAGCCTGCTCTACGAGCAGTTCCTACGATTACCAAATTTATATAGAAAGATATTAATATGCACGTTTCCTATATCAGTCGACTGAAATGCTTCGTTTGTTCAGGCGACGGCTCGTCCGTCTGATCTTGTGCCGTAGACCCTTTGGTGATGATGTATTCTTTGTATTGGCCCGCTTTACCTATCAGATCTTTATCAAACACGCTAGCTGTAGCAGGACACGGGATTTATCAGCTCCCTCGTTTTCTCCCTCGTCTAATTTTTTCAATCATCTTGTAATTTGTCCTCTTGTGATTTGTTAATTGCTTTTGTGTTACAACATATTATTTTTTTTGTCCTTGTCTAGCTATAGAAAAAAATTGTAAATTGTGAATTATCTTTGTGTCAATATATATTATATATTAGATTTGTCAGGTTTGTGATTTTGTCTATCGAGTTTTTTATTCTCAGATCCAAAAATTACAGATTATGCCAACAAAAATTGCAACAAGCTAAAGCTGCAATTTTAGCATAAAATATGTGTAATAACCGTTGCCCGAAAAAAACCTAAATTTCAGACATCTGAATTTTAGCAACTCCCATTAATATATTTATCATAGTAGATGATAAGTATTATTAAATGCACCTAAAGTCATACATATTGGCAATATTTTATCTAAAATTAGTCAAATTTAAGGTAATTTGATTTTGACCAAACCCAAAACTAAAATCATCTTTTTTAAAATCAAAAAATATAGGTTGTATACCTGAGTTGACTGACCGTTGACGTCAAGTCAACTGAGTACACCTGCATGTGATACATATAATTGCAGCGGCCCACGAAGAAGCACAGCGTTGCTTAGAATCATTTATGTACTCCTTGTGTTGCACTACCCAGCTACAGATGATTCTATTAATCCCGGTCACTCACTCCTAGTATATGATAGGCAAGTGCGTTCGCCTCGATACCTCAGCATCCCCCGTCGAAGCATCCTTGATTTGCCTAGCAGCAAGCCTGCAAAATGGCTCGCAAAAGCACTCATCACGCCTCATGGTTGCATTTGCATCTAGCTGTTTGTCTCAGCTTCCTCCTTTTGGCAAGCCACCAGCTCCCAAGTTGCTCCCTTGCACTGTCAGAAACTATCAGCAGATCAAGCGGCACCTCACGAGTCCCAGCACTATGCCGCTCGCAGGAGGCTGCGGCGCTCCTCCAGCTGAAGGGGTCCTTCGCATTCCCCACAGCCACAGATAGCTGCGATGTCAATACGACGTTGTCGTCGTGGAGATCAGGCACTGACTGTTGCCGGTGGGAAGGCGTCAGCTGCGACGGTATCACGGGGAGAGTTACTGCCCTCGACCTGTACAGCAGTTGCCTGAAGGTCTGCAGCGGCCTTCACCCTGCTCTCTTCAACCTCACCTCCCTCCGGTACCTCAACCTGGAGGGCCTCGACCTTTGCGGCTCACAACTTCCAGAGTCGGGTCTTGAGAGATTGACCAATCTTCGAGTCCTCATGTTAGAGAGCTGCAATCTTTCTGGTTCGATCCCACCTTCCTTTACGGGTCTTCATTCCCTGCAAGAGATTCATCTCAGTCACAACACGTTAAACGGCAATATCTCTAATCTGTTCTCTGCTCATAGCTTCCCACATTTGAGAGTCCTTGACCTTTCTTCAAATATGTTCGAGGGAACGTTTCCGCTTGGGATCACTCAACTAAAAAATCTCAGGTTTCTAGATCTTAGCTCCACGAACCTCTCTGGTGGTATTCCAAACTCCATAGGGAATCTCTCGTTACTGAAGGAATTACACCTTTATGATAACGGACTCTCCGGGGGCCTGCCTTGGGAGCTCAGCAATTTGACATACTTGACCGTACTAGATTGTTCAAATTCTAGTTTATCTGGACAACTTCCGTCACTTACAAGTTTAATACGGCTGCAACGTATCTCGGTTTCCTCCAACAACCTCATGGGTAAGCTTTCAGCATGCTGGAACATTTTCGTTCCACTTCTCCTGTATATATATATTCCAGGTGTATGATTTTTTTTGTGTGTTCCAGCAATAGGCAATTTTGTCATTGTTTGAATATAGAAAAAATTGTAGATTGTTTCTTGCAAGTTGTCCTTTTTAATTGTACTAGTTAGTTGCATCAGGTGGTTACTTGAAATCATATCAAAATTCAGACACCTGAAATATAGCAACTCTCGTAATCTATATAAAGCATTGCCAAAGGTTGTTATAGCAAATGGTCTAATAATCATGCCTCTCCCTCTATATATATGCACAGGGACAGTACCCGCAACCATATTCACCCTGCCAGCATTGGTGGAACTACATCTGCAGGTGAACAACTTTTCCGGTCCGGTCGAGGAGTTCCATAATGCATCTGGCACATTGTTTCAAGTTGACTTGAGTAGCAATCAGCTGACTGGTACAATTCCAACCTCATTCTTGGAGCTCACTGCTCTTGATACCATTGCTCTCGACTCCAATCATTTCACAGGGACGGTGAATCTAAGTAGCTACTCTAGGCTAAGAAACCTCGCTAAATTTACAGCCTCTGGTAACAGCTTGGTATCTATTGTCGGAGACGAACCCTGGACCAGTGGTAGCAGTAATAGTAGTATTTCTGAGTTGGCGTTTGCATCCTGCAGCCTAACTAGGTTACCTAGTGTCATAAGACATCTACCGTTCCTTGACTGGCTGGATCTGTCTTATAATGGCATCGGTGGCAACATACCTGACTGGATCTGGAGAAACATGAGCACGTGGTTGGACCTTTCTCACAACATGTTCACTGAGGTGGCACAGCCCCCTGCTTACACTGTCATATCGCACATTGATCTTAGCTTCAATAGGCTCCGCGGTGCCGTGCCTTCGCCTTCGCTTCTCTCTGCGTTTTACCTTGATTACTCCAACAACAAATTCTCTTCCATGCTGCCCGGCGATTTCCTCACGCTTTATGGTACTGCACCCTCCATCAACTTGGCAAACAACCAACTAGGTGGGACTATTCCGTATGCAGAGTGTGACCAGTTTCATTACGAGGAGCAGGACGGTGAGGCTCTTCGAGATCTCGACCTATCCGGTAACAACTTCAGCGGGGAGGTCCCACCTTACGTGCTTAGAGGCTGCAATAATGCCCTGCGGGTGCTAAACCTGAGGGGCAATCGCCTCGAGGGAACGTGGCCCCAGGAGATGGACGGGACATGTAGACTGGAGGCCGTAGATTTACATGGAAATCAGATCCGAGGGCGCTTGCCAAGATGGCTAGCTAACTGCAGAGAGTTGAATGGGCTCGATGTCGGCGGCAACAATTTCATGGATTCTTTCCCGTCATGGCTAGGAAACCTCCCTCACCTTCGTGTGCTTATCCTGAGATCCAACCAGTTTTACGGTCCAGTGACGACAGTGAGCATGGACCCTCATAGTCATAGGAAGAATCACTCGAGGTCTGCTTACTTCTCCAGTCTCCAAATCATTGACCTTGCAGAAAATGGCTTCTCTGGAGTGCTACCACCGGGACTCTTCTACAGTTTCAAGACCATGGCTCAGGCCAGCACAGTGCACAAAGTACGTGAGATAACAGTGATAGGTGAACAGGGTGAGACTGACATACATCAGGAACGACGAAATCCGGTCGAGGTCGCCATGAAGCAGCAATACATGAGGATGCTTGAAGACCAACAACTCGACCTCATGCTGATTGACCTGTCCAACAACAGATTCAGCGGTTCCATTCCAAGGACGGTGGGCAACCTGACTGCCCTTCTCGTGCTCAACCTGTCGCGCAACGCCTTCACCGGGGAAATCCCGGTGGAGCTCGGCCTCCTGTCGCAGGTCGAGTCGCTGGACCTCTCGTGGAACCATCTCACGGGGGAGATCCCACAGTCGCTGGCCTCGCTGACGGCCCTCGAGTGGCTCAACCTCTCCTACAACGACCTCAGCGGGAGCATACCTTCGGGCACCCAGTTCTCGACGTTCCCCAGCAGCTCCTTCCAGGGAGGCAACCGAGGGCTATACGGATGCCCGCTTCCCGTGCAGTGCAACCTGACGCGTCCGCCGTCGGCCGCCAAGGCTCCGCCGCCGTTGCATGTGCCCGGTGGAGAACCTGCTGACCACAGGTCCCAAGTTGTCGTGCTGTGCCTCTTCGTTGGTTCTGGCTTTGGGCTGGGCTTCGCGCTGGCCATTGTTTTGCAGGTGGTCTGCAGCAGGAGAGGCGCCAGGAAATGGCTGTGCAGAGCCAACTAGTTGTATAGATAAGTGGTCATTCATCTGAATGGAGCTTGTATAATTGTATTAGTTCTATAATAAACTTTTGGAAAATGTGTACTTTTGACCATGTTTAGTAGATAAGATACTGCAATGGTAATTGCATTCACCCAATCATTTGCTGTAATATTTTAGCTAGTCCTTGCCAAAAGACTTCCCCTGTAAGAGTTATGACTCAAATACAACTGGGAACTGGAGTACGGTCCTAATTTGTCATGCTCAGTTCCATGGACTATAGATAAAGTCTAGACCTCTCCATTATAATTTGTACAAACACATAATAAGATTTTTGCCCCATAGTTTTTCCCTTTTACATTGACGGTTTTTTCACGTTAAATTTCTTGTCTATCTCAACAAATGGTAACAAAGCCCATGATCAGTGGCGGAGCTCGTCAGTTTTGAAGCCTAGGGCCACTGTCAAAGCATGTATATCACCAGCATCAGGTCAATAGATGTAGACCGAGTGAATTGGACCAAACCGGGTCAAAAATTGAACCAGCGAGGGCATGGATTCATTGATCCAAACATTAAAAACCGATTGAACCACCGGTTCAATAGATTTGGACCAAATAATCGGACTGGCCACAAATAGTTTGAATCGGCTCAGTATATGGTTGATAATTAGCAACATATACTTCATTATAGATACGAATAATAAGTTGATAAGTGATAAGTAATACAATTATGCAACAAAAAAGAAATTTGCTATATGCCTATATCTATGTATCCAACATCATTTGATATATCTAATTAACTTGGTTGTAATTTCTTCTAATCTCTAAATTTGTGGTCTTAGTATAATACAAATCAAACCAAATAGCCTATGATTAACAGATTAAGTACACAAAACTCATGTCGGCCTACTCGCTTGCTTCCTTGTGTGTGTCAGCATGTGGTAGGGGAATACCAGTTCGGCAGACGGCAGTTCCTGTGCTAGATGCTAGACTGCTGGTGCCTGGTGGACAAGAGGAGAAGGTGCTCGGCTCCTGCCGTCCTGCGTGCTACGGCCCTGTGGGCAGTTCCCTGCCCTGTTTCCCACAACGCCACGATGAACGCCGGCACGCCGCGATGCCAATGCTGCTGCGGGCAGGCCCTAGGTGTCCAGGCGGGCAGCCGCCCAGTGGCCAACGCCAAGACCCACCTCCGACGGCCAAGGGGCAAGGCCGCAAGGGCCAACTGTGGAGCGTGGAGCCGCGGGTAGGCGGCAAAACCCCTTGTGGAAGGGTCCGGCGGGCGGCGGGCGGAGGGGAGTCGGGAACTCGGGATTGCGGCGGCCGGCGGGCGGAGACGCTGATTGTAGAGCACGGGGACGGGATTCAGGAATCAGGAGTCGCGGTTCCTCTCCTCTCTGTATCTGGGCTGGTTAGGATGAAGAAATTTGGCCCAACGTCTTCGAACTGGGTTAAATTAATTTACACTTTCTAGTTTTGAGTTTTTTTTTGAAGTCGTTAAGATGCTCAAAAAAATTAATAACATATTTGAACTTAAGGGCTACAAATTTACATGTACGGAAGTGGCATGGAGGACCCAAAAAGAGATATTTTGGGCCACTCCTAGGCCAAGGCCCTTTGCTAAAAAAAAAAACTACTTCAAGGCCTACTGGCCCTAGGCCCATATCCGCCCTGCCCATGATCGAAAAACCTAAAAAAAATCTTAGGCGTCACATGGTGACACAAAAACTCACTAATGTCAGGGTCACAACGGTTGTGTGTGACATGAAGAGTTGGACTAAGGCCTAGAGATAACATCTTTCTTACGTAACACAGGATTGTGTGATGTGAAAAGTTGGGATCCTTGTGTGACAGGAAATTGTTAGGTTTAGTCTCACATCGAAAATTAATGGTTAGGGACCACAACATACTCCCTCCATCCCTAAGATAGGATAATAATATTTATGATACCAATTAAGTATCATTAGATTCTTTGTTAATTATATTTTCATAGTATACCTATTTGATATTATAATTCTTTGTAATTTTTTTTATAATTTTGATCAAACTTGAGATGCTTTGACTCTCCAAGATTTTTGGAATGACTTATAATTTGGAATGGAGGGAGTATAAGACAAGGGCATGTCTCACATATCAAGCCATTCTTTTAGGTTGAGTTAGGCCCGAAGCTTTTACATGTCGTGGACTCCAATGAACCTAGGGCAGGGTCGTGCCCCATGCACGTGCAAGACGTGCGATCATACAGGGCCTCAAAAATTATGGCCTATCAAACCCTACCGACTCTTGTATTTGCTTCCGAGATGTTGCGTCTCTTCATGGTGGCATTGCAAAATCCATCTAGTCTGTTTCGGTCCGTCTCCCCATCTAAACGTCCTGAATCACCATCCGCACAGGACTGAAAAGTGGAGGCTACCAAGGATGGTACATGTACGATTCTTGATTTATCGCAATGCTATGTACATATTATTGTCGTCTATTTTTCTAGGCCGGTAGGGTTTATTTTAGAGTTTGGAACAAGGCTCTGCATTTTACCGGCACGGTCCTACTCGTGAGTATAATGAGCTGGGCTAGATCCGGTGAACACTAACGGGCCCAAATACTCGAATACTGCATGTAACCCAAAAAAAACTTAGCACAATACCTATGAATCTATGGAAACCGGAGTCTACGTTTAGTCTTGAGATTTCTCAGGTTTGATAAACTTTGGGGGAAAAATTGGATCTAAGTTAAGATTTAATAGAAGTATTTAATTAATAAACTTAAATTTGGTCTATGACATCCGTCGTGATCGTCACAGCGAGCCATGCTGTGTTTGGCCGTTGGCTCATTAGGATGTTGTCGTAGTGGAGCGAGGACAAACGAGCAAACTGCGAACGTGCGAGCGAGCCAGCGAGCAACTACTAGCATACAGATTTGTTGGCCTCGACCTGTTCTTGAGTCATATTCGGCAGCTACTTGCTGTTGGACCTCCTAATTGAGTAAGCTCCTGAGCTAGCTAGCTCATGCCAGCTCGGTTTAATTAAGCTGAGCCAAGTTGCAAACACGCCGAGCGAGCTGATGAGTTTCAGGGTTTTGAATTTGTCTACTAGCTTGTAGCTATGACCCTGAGGCTGGCTATGCCGGTGTTGATACAGCAGAACTTAAGGCTTTGTTTAGTTTCACGAAATTTGGGAATCTAGATACTGTAGCATTTTCGTTTTTATTTGACAATTAGTGTTCAATTATGGACTAATTAGACTCAAAACGTTCGTCTCGTGATTTCCACCAAACTGTGTAATTAGTTTTTTTTTTTTCCGTCTACATTTAATGCTCCAGGCACGTATCGCAAAATTCGATGTGATGACTACTGTAGCACTTTTTGAGAAAAACTTTTTGCAACTAAACACGGCCTTATTGCGCCGAGTCGCACAACTTGGAATCCTCGGAAGTCAGGACAAGCTCGTGATTTGTTTTCTTTTTTTTTTGTGAGAAAGAAAATGAAAAAAGATGGACAGGCTTCAATTAGGAAAGGAAAATAAATACAGAGAGATCAGAAATGAAGCCGGCATCGCAAGCGGATCTCGAGGAGCCAACTCGTGGCGCGGCCGCGTGGGCCGCCGGCACGGCACTCCTTCCCATTACCGGGACCAGGGGACGGACGGCAGGTCGGCAGCATTTTCCCGTCTCGCTCCCTGCCTTAATTATCCGCAGCGATTTGGCGGGTGGTGGTGTGCAGACTGCAAAGCATACCGAGAAGACAAAATCGGGTAGGGCTAGGGCTAGCAACATGGTCACGATGGTGCACAGACTACGGCGACGGAGCGGCCGGTGACGACGTACTTACATGACCAAAACTAATAAATAAATAAACATATATACAGAGATGATGCATGACATACTCCAAGGCCATCGGTCGGCGAAACTCGGCATGTCGGCAACGGGATCCACATGCCTCCAGCCTTGCTCTTGGATACTAATTCGTGTGCGAACAACGTTCCTGCGTGACATGTGAATGAAAATAAAATCAAATCAAAAGTGGAAATAAAAAGGCAGGTGACGCTGAGAAGTTGGGAAAAAGCGAAGTCAGTTTAAACCAAACGAGATTGCATGGGTTCGATCTCTGCACCTTTCCTTTTCCTTTATCTGCCGACTGAATACACACGGGCAGGTCGTAGGTATAGCCGTGTCGCCGCGATCATGCCACTGCAATTTCCTAACAATTGCATCCGTGCAGTATCTGTTCTCCATTTCTTTTCGTCGTGAGGACACTCCTAACCTAAAAACCACGTGGCTTCTATTAATTACGGATGATGTGACGCTATAATTAAGGTTTCGCACTTGAACACCTACCCCGAGCGCCCCCAACGGGTGACTCGGGGGCGACCTGCCGGCGCCGCACCAGCGCCATCTCCTGGCACCCCTCCGCCCGTCGCCGCCGCCCTCGGCGGTGGCCTGCAGCGGCTCGAAAAAAGGCTCCCGTTGCACCTCCCTTCCTTCCCCACACCCCCACCCCCTCTCCTCCATTGCCTTGCCACTCCCCGGGCGCCTCCGGCGAGTTGGCCGGTCAGCTGGCCGGATCCGCCCCTTGGTGGCCGGATCTGCCGTCCCCCTCACCGGATCTACGTCGTGTCGCTCAAGCTGTCTTCCCCCACGCCGGATCTCCATCGTCGTGGTCATCAGCAGGGCGTCGGGGGACTCGGCGGGCCGCGGGCCGGATCCGCCCCTCGGTGGCCGGATCTACCATCCCCTTCACCGGATCCACGTCGTGTCGCCCGAGCTGCCCTCCCCCAAGTCAGATCTCCGTTCGCTCTGCCGGTCGTTGGGGGACTCAACGGGAACGGGCCGGCTCGTGTGCGCCTGGCCAGGGACGTCCACTGGCCGCCGGGGCCGTGGGTGGCTTCCCCCTGCCCGCGGCGGCTTCGCCCTCCCGCCGTTGGACGTGGCGCATCGCTCGTGCTGCTCCCCCTCGCCGGTACGTCGTCACGGATCGAGGCGTCGGTGGCCTCGGCGGGTTGCCTGTGGTGCGTCTGGCCAGCGGCCGCCGGGCCA